TACAGTATGCACAGGCATCTATCATCAAGCACAAAATTAGATAGACTCCGTAATCTGCATACCTCAACTCGCCATGCAATACAATAACTTATCAGATAATTATTGCCTTCACGACTTCATTTGCGTGCATTACAACAGGATCAGATATAAAGGTTAACCATAAAAGTTATATAAAAGATGTAAAAAATCAGAAAGTCCTTCAAGGTACACCAGTAATTATTTGATTCAGCTGCATAACCCATGTAGAATTAGGTGGCAGGTGGACAGGGGTAATAGAATTATATTCTGGGAGGATCGGTGGGTTGATGGTGGTTTTGCTCAAAGTTCCATTTCCCCAGATCTTTAATATTTCTCAGAATAGAGGGGCAAAGATTTGTGACTGTTTTATTGGGGCTCCCGGAGGTGAAGGGGAGTGGCAAGTTTTGGTTTCAAGAAACTTGAATGATTGGGAAATAAGTGAATATGAGAAGTTGTGAGAACTCTTTCGCTTGTGTCCCTAGATGGTGGCAATGATAGTCTGCGCTGGATGCTCACAAAAAATGGTTCCTTCACGGTAAAGTCTTGGTACAAGTGGCTGCTCAAGGATAATGACAATGCTGTTAGATATCCTCATAAACAGATTTGGAAGGTCAATGTTCCCCCACGGATATCTGTTTTTGCTTGGGAAGAATGTAGAGAGCACATTCTAACAATAAACAAGCTGAGAAGGAGGGGACAGGTTCTGGTAAATGCATGTTATTTCTGTGAGAAGGCAGAGGAGAGCTTTAACAACTTGTTGTGGTGCCCTATGGTGTATGAGCTGTGGACCTTGGTGTATAGATTGCTTGGGATCAATTGGGTGATGGCTGGTTCAGTTACGTATGAGCTGTGGGCTTGGGAGAGTCTGAGAAAGTAGATGTATGTTTGCTGAGTTGATTCCACTTACCATTTTGTGGACTATGTGGAAGGAACAAGAGGGCTGTTGACAGAATAGATGACACAAAAGGTTTTGATGTTCTCAGGAATAGATGGTCTATGACCCTAGAATTTTTGTTGACAGGTGATCCTCCAGAGGTAATGGAGGCTTTTAGAAACTTTCATGTTGTGATGACTGATTTGTAAATATTTGTACATGGGTTGCGCCCCCTTAGTGCTCATATAATATACTTCTACACTTTTTACTTAAATAAAATTGACATTTTAACCAATACCAACTCATAGATTACATAGTTTTATCTCTTTCTCAAAACGTAGTGATGTTATTCATCAAAACAGGGAACCTTCCACACTATCTTTAGTATATAAAAGTACGAAATTGACGATAGAATGATCAAACCAAAGAAATGCCAGCAATCCTTATTGCAAAAAAAACTCCAGGCCACATAGCACATGCTTAAACAAGGTGGATATAGGCCAAATTGAAGAATTATTGCAGCAGAATACCTGCACTGCAATGTCACTTGCATCAACTGCATATACCTGGAAATAAAAGAAACTAAAATTAATGTAGTCACAGTGGCCAACAACATGCCAAAAGAGTCAAAGGAAATAAACTAATGCAAAACCCCATCTGGCAAAAAGAAATGCAAAAATTGCCTCCACCCCATCAAGAAGCAAAGAGAAGTTAGTTGGTTTTTTTCTCTCAACTAAGGATCAAATAACAGATCTTAACTTCTTTTTCTATCCAAAAAAAATTGAAATAACAGATTCTTCAGTGCTTCAACTGAACTTCATTGCTAATAAAGAAAACAGAACTTATTAAATAAAATAATACCATGCATAAAATAAATAACAATATGGTGAAATTTTATTGATAAAATAAAATGGTATCTGGTTCAAGACATTAGCACAGTGAAACCTATATTTTATTGAGAGTTAGATGGAGCAGGGCTAAAACTCTGTTGATTGACACACCCCTAGTTAGTTTTTTAACTTATGCAATGTATATTAATCACTAGTGTACATCTACTATAGTTCATATATTTGGAACTGATGCATGTGTAAATGAAGCTGAATATGCTTGCTAACTCACCACTTAGAGAGCCTTCTAATCATTATTCATCTACTTCACCAAAAAAAGAAAACACTGACAAGCAGCAATCGTTTGCAACATGGAATTCAGAAGGGAACTAGAAACTAAAATACATTTTGGGAGTCCTTACACTTTGTTAAATTGTTAAAATTCTTCATATATTAGATCCTTCTCTTATGTCCCATAAAAGGTATGGCAAGAATTTGTTTATTTTAAAATAAAATATAAACAAGTTACCCGTTTTGCACCAGCCTGAGCACAGAATATAGAAAGGATGCCTGTCCCACAGCCAACATCAACCACAACCTGTAAGGATAACCAAATCCAACTAATCAAGCTTATAAACTATCCGATTACAATGAAGAAAAGACTAGTCAAAAAATGTACATCTTAAGAACAATTCAAACTGGACAGCATGTTCAGCCAAATTCATATCCAGATCTACTTTTTGAAGCATTTTCACATCTTCAATACCATGAAAAAGCATTCAATTAACATTACAATACAGCACAATCTTTATTACATACACGCTACCAGAATTGTGGCAGTGATAGAAATATCTTGAAAAGGAAAAAGACCACAGATAACTGCATAACTGAAACTACAGCAACGATGATATTACTTTGCCTTCAATAAAACTCTGATGCTGCATGATTGCAGCCCTATAGGTTTCTGTCCGCACCCGATCCTGATTTGTCCCAAAAAAAATTATATTAGTCTTCCACAGAACTGCTATCACAACACAAATAAAACTGTGAAGGATAAACAATAAAACAGCAATAAACTATAAAGGCTAAACAAAAACAAGATCTAAATCAGCAAGATAAGTACACTGCTCAGTCCTTTTTCCTTCTTTTTTGAGGAAAAAAACTGACAGAGAACTATTGTAAAAGAATAAAAGAGAGAAACTTTTAGTTAACACTCTATTAGAATGAGAGAGGAGGAAGTTGACAAAAAGCATGAAATCAATTAGAAACGCCAAATATCTGTCTGTTTCCATCAAATCCAACATGGATACCTAAACCTGCCTACATTTTACTATCAAATAGAAAATATTCAGATCTCAACTTGTGAGCATTAACGTGGCTGATATACTTCACATCATTGAAATCAGCATAAGTACATCCTTATGCATGTGGGTTGTGTATGTATGTGTGTGTATAGTTTTGAATGATCCCCATACAACTGTAGATTATACAGACATAGAGAAGTACATATAAAACAAGGCGAGGAAAAAGAGGGCTCAGAAGCCCTTTTCTTGCACACATTTGCATATTACACAAGCCATAGATGATTAAGACGGTGAACTTGATTTCCAAACATTACAGTGTCAAGTCATAATTAGATGCAAGACAGTAATCTTCTAGTCCTAAATCCTAATTGTTTGATTCCGCAGCATAACCCATGTTTGTTTTCTACTCAAATAATTAGCATGCTTGCCCCATTGATATACTCATGCATATCCATTTTATCATCGACTTAAAATCGGTTCTAGATTTGTTCCATCCATGCAAGTTAAGAATCAAATTCACAGCACTTCCAGACACCAAATGTTCCCAACATTAAGAAAACTGCGACTTGAAACACAAGCTAACAAGCAAACATAATCTCTGTCAACATTGTACAGAAAACAAAAGCAGGCTAACATAAGAAATGCACAAAGATTAATGCAGCACTACTTAGAGAGGAAATTGCCACCACCCACAGGGCCACAGCGAAAAGAACAATAACCATTTGGGTACCCATATATAAATTGAACCCAAAAAAGAAAAGAAAGTAGCAAAACCGAACAATGCCAACAAAACATCACCTGCAAAACCAAACATAGAGAAAGAAAAAAGAGGACCTTGATCATCTCCTCGTGGATGCCAACGTGCGCATAGGAGTGGAAGTAAGCCATGTCGAAGTCGGTGCAAGGAGGCGGAGATTTCTGCTCGTTTTGCAGCAGCTCTGAAACCCTAAGACCATGGCCGCTTCTCGAGTCACGTGGCCTACGACTACGAGCTCGTTCCCTACGGCGAGGTCCGGCTCGCTTGTCGGTAGAGTGCTGGTGTTGCTGCTCCGGTTGGTGGTAGCCGTTATTGTACCCAGTGCTCGAATACATTGTCTGCTTCTCTGTCTGACTCTGAAACCAAACCCGCAGAGAGAGAGAGAGAGAGAGAGAGAGAGAGAGAGAGAGAAGGAGAAAGAGGTCTAACGGTGGCGTTTTGGTTGGGTTTTAACCAAAACCGTAAAAACCCAACCACTGTGATACTAATTCTTAATTCTTAAAAATATTTTTAGTTTTTTTTATTTTAATTATAAAAATATACAGGAATCAATAAAATAACAATGAAATGATTATGAAATTTTAATTTTTAATTGTGTAATTCTTTTACAAGCAGTAAATTCTAAAATAAGATTAGGGAATATTTTCATGTATTAGGAAGCTAAATTTTAAAATAAATCTCTTCAAGAGTTAATTAGACATTTAATTCTGTCTTTGTGCATTTTATTTTATATACTTTTATTCGATTTTTTTTTTTGCAATTTATATTATTTGTTATTCTGTTATTTTACCCAAACCAAAATGAAAAAAAGGAAGTCATTAATGTAAATTATTAAATAAAAAATTTAATTTATTCAGAATTTATATCATTATTATTAACATGTTTTCTAATAAAATGATAAGATAAAAATAAAGAAAAAAACAAGGAAATGAAGTGAAAAAAGAAAAAGCAAAATGCCCAAAACTTCAGTTCAGTCCCTTTAAAGTTTAAACCTAAGATTTCGCTTCTATCAAAACTTAGCCCAAACAAAGGGGAGTTCAACTTTAATCTTGCACGAAATGACGTCGTTTTTGCATGTTTCAGTTAATTCTGTAGGCTTGTGATTGGTTGACGAACCTCTATAAAATCACATTTTCGTTACTTTTTCTTTTTAATTTTTTATTATTTTTATTTGATTTAAAATTTAATGTTTTTTTGTTTATGTGATTAATAATCTAAAAGTATTTATACTTAACACTATAAAAAATTAATCATCATCAACACCAGCATCAAAAGCTTGTAAAAAGTATTACTTAGTTAACTAAATAACTAATTAATTTATATATTACAACATAGTATATTAAAAAAACAAATATTAAAAAGTTATGCAATTTTTCAGCTCTAAATCCATTTTGTATCATAGTGTATATTGAAGAAAAATATAAATTGCAAATTTTTGTTTTCTTTCTTTAATTTGTCATTTTCTTAAATTTTTATACTGAAATTCACTAGAATGTGTCATAAGTTTCATGTAATGCAAGTATTCTATTTTATAATCACTTTTAATATTATAAAATATATCATCTTTAAAGAACGAATTTTATACATTTTTTAAAATATTTATTTGACTAAAAATATTCTTTTATTTCTTTTACTGTCATATACAAAAATAAACTTCCGATATAATTAAAAATGTGAATAGACTAGTAATGAAAATATAATTGTGTCTGTCAACTTGTAGCAGCCCCGGAAATTTAAAATGGAAATTATATTATAAATATCAAATGCGGAAGCGAAGTCAAAATTTGAATAACATCCCTTACACTAAAACCAAAAAACGTGCTCACAAAATATAAAAGATTAAACTACCTAAAGGAGAAACTTGAAAGTAAAAACTACGAATGTGACTATGGAGTCTTTAGGTGTCCCCTTCGTCGTCCTCCTGCGGAACCGGCTCGGGAACGATGTCCTCTTGATCTGAAATGATTAAATAAGGAATGAGCTACACTAGCCCAGTAAAAACATCACGATATCTCACCGTCACGGAGGTAAAGGTGGGTAGAAAACACAAAAAAGACCAATGGAGCATAATTTACAACAAATCATTTTATTAATAATAAAACCTTTACCATTCACTTACCTCGGTGAAATTCATAAAATAATATACGAAATCAATAACATCATCATCATCATGAAACCATATATATAAACTGTATAACATAATACCTATCAAGCTTTTCGTAATTCAATCGTTACACAACATATTTTCCTAATTCACCAGCCCACTAGTATCCATGGGGATCCATAGGGGTCCCGCTACCCGTTAATCCTTAACACTTGAAATCCATTCCAGGGTCGTCCCCATACCCCGTCCGGTATGGGCGCCAAAACACATAAGATCTTCATACCCCGTCCGGTATGGAAGACCACAATCCCGGTAGGGTTCCCTACGGACCCGGTCCGTCCACCATCTCCCAGGATATCTATTCAGGCTGAACACATTATAAAATTTCCATTTACATAATCTTTCATTCTCCTTTTCCCTCAGTCAGCATTATCAATCACATACAAACAAGTAAAACGATAATTTATGCCAAACAGATAACATACAACATCAATATCCCGGTCATTCAATCCATAATCAATAAAACAGTAGAATATGCACACGAAACTATAAAATGAAAACATCAAATCTCATACTGCATTTAAAATTGTAAACAGGCCAAATAACAGTTAACCGACAAACACACTAGACTCGGGCTCCATTAGCAACCTTAAGCAATTTCACATATTCGTTGATTCATGAAATACCGTTTTATCATTTATTGAACTTTAAAACCGTGATAGGAAATAGGGTGAGGGGTCCTTACACGTTTCGGGGTCCGAACACGGCTTCACAGTGCGCCTACAGGCTGTCCCTAATTTTTCCTGAATTTTTCTCGGGGAACTGAAACGCACTACTGGTACCTGCACGTGTTCTAAAAAATCCCAAATTAGGCCAG